GCACTTGTTACTACTAGCTTCTTGTTACTACTAGCGTTGAAAAAAACACAAATTCGCCTGTTTTCACCGTTGCAAGCGGCGTCTAACCGTGATGCTTGGGGCCGCAAAACCCACACCGAGCCGCCGTGTCAGTTGCGAATTCCTGTTCAGGTGCCTGTCGTCGCGGTGGCGGTGAATATGCAGGAGAGAAACTCTAGTAACAAGTGCATCGCTACTAGGAACAAGTGCCTTACTAGTACTAACAAGAAGCTATTAGAAACAAGTGCCTTACCAATAGTAACAATAAGATTTTAATTAGAATTACCAGCAAAGGAATCTACTAGGACCTTATCGCGCGCGCGCGAGGGGGGGGGGAGGCCATCGCTCCTATAGGTGGGAGGCCATCGCTCTTTTTGGTGGGAGGCCATCGCTTTTATAGGTGGGAGGCCATCGCTTTTATAGGTGGGAGGCCATCGCTCTTATAGGTGGGAGGCCCATCGCTCTTATAGGTGGGAGGCCATCGCTCTTATAGGTGGGAGGCCATCGCTCTTATAGGTGGGAGGCCATCGCTCTTATAGGTGGGAGGCCATCGCTCTTATAGGTTGGAGGCCATCGCTCTTATAGGTGGCAGGATTCGCTCTTATAGGTTGGAGGCCATCGCTCTTATAGGTTGGAGGCCATCGCTCTTATAGGTTGGAGGCCATCGCTCTTATAGGTTGGAGGCCATCGCTCTTATAGGTTGGAGGCCATCACTTTTATAGGTGAGAGGCCATCGCTTTTATAGGTGGGAGGCCATTGCTCTTATAGGTGGGAGGCCATCGCTTTTATAGGTGGGAGGCCATCGCTCTTATAGGTGGGAGGCCATCGCTCTTATAGGTTGGAGGCCATCGCTTTTATAGGTGGGAGGCCATCGCTTTTATAGGTGGGAAGCCATCAGGCCATCGCTTTTATAGGCCTCCCTCGCTTTTATAGGTGGGAGGCCATCGCTGTTATAGGTGGGAGGCAATCGCTTTTATAGGTGGGAGTCCATCGCTTTTATAGGTGAGAGGCCATCGCTCTTATAGGTGGGAGGCCATCGCTCTTATAGGTGGGAGGCCATCGCTCTTATAGGTGGGAGGCCATCGCTTTTTTATAGGTGGGAGGCCATCGCT